GTACTAGAAACTCGTAGTAGAGTCACTACTCCTCACAGAGCCTGTAGTAGTCTCTCTATTTTAGTATTACTAGATTAGTAGTAGAGAGATTCCCTCCCACTACTACAAACTACTATCTCTCTACTTATTCTTTCACTGACTACACTACTAGTAGTAGCAGAGAGAGTAGAGACTAGTCAATCACTCACTCTCTCTAGAGTAGAGGAGAGAGTAGTAGTAGTAGACACTCGCTCTACTAGCAACCTAGCGACTAGTAGTAGAGTGAGTCCTACTCTTCTCTAGTAGAGTAGGAGTTAGTGACTACTGACTCTCTCTCTCTAGACAGGGATACAGAGAGATAGAGAGCACTACATGTCCAATTCCAGTATCACGGGGCCCTAAGCTCAATACGTTTTTCCTATATGCGATATATTAACGTAAACGCAAAAAGTTGCTATATATCGGGGGCAAATCGACCAAGAAATTTTTCCACACTTGCACCTGAGAAATTGATCTTTTAAAAAATGAAAAGGCGATTTGAAACTGTTCATAACTGATACGAAGTGAAAAATAACACAATTCGTGACAGTTAGGCCGTCTCAAAAAATGAACCTATTTGTATACCCATAGGACTATATTTAGGAAAAACTTTGAACGTAAACGCTTAATTTCTTTTTTGCATTTTTTAACGGGAAACGTAATGAAGTTAGCCACAGGCGGACTGGCCACATACAGATTACAGGGGGCACAGATTAAACTGATTAAGATTTCAGATTACAGTATCACAGTTGTAGTTGTTACAAACTCCTGACTCCTACGACTCCAAATTTAACACTGCCACACACACACAGAGTAACACACACACACGTGCGAGAGACACGAGAGTCGACACTCGTGACTCTCAACTCCAGAGTATAACTCTTAGAGATATTTTACAGCTCAACTGATTTATACATATTTTTTATTTATAAACGCAAACGAATACTAGTGTCTTCGTCAGTATTGTTTTAAACTGAATTTAAAATGACAGACTCACAAGTCACAGCAGCTATTTTTTTACAAGTCCAACAACAGTTAAAAAATTAACACTCATCATCATGCGTCGGAAGTCAGCAGTCGCAAGAGAAGTGCGTGAGAGCGAGAAAAGAAGAGATACAGAAGATAGGGGTTTCCATACTTTCCACCCTACTCTACTCTACAGTAGTTGAGTGAGTAGTATTTTTCTATGTCGCTATATGGATTTTAGAGTTTACTCTCTCTCTAGTAGTAGTAGTAAATAGTATACTATAGAGACCGAGACTATTTAGAAGAGAGAGAGGTGTGGGGACTGATACCTTGGGCCCTGACCCCTGGGCCCTGGCGGCCTGGACACCTGTTTTTCTAAGGCCAGACGGCCAAGGGCTAACGGCTAACGGCAACCGACTAATGGCTTTAGCAGTTTAGCCGTAATCTCTACTTTTATATAATGATGTACTGATAGAAGATGAACGGAAACGCAGGTCTAACAGCTAGCAAATTTCCTATTTATATCAAAAGGGACTATTGCCTGGATCATTTTAGGTTAAAGTAGAATATAGGATAATCTTGGTAGTCTGAAGTATAGAGACACTTATTTATTCAATCTGAAAACGTTTTAACGAGAAACGGCTTGAAGTTGAGCCCTCAAAATTCGTATGCCCTAGTCGTAGGCTTGGCTCTTACAGATTCTAAGCTTCACATACTTCTCACAGGGGGTTTGGGAGTTTAGGACTTCAGGTCCTTTGGGACAACCTTTGCTATTGAACCATATTAGGACTCATCAGACTCCCTAATTTTTTAAAAGAACTTTGTTCCCTTTGATAAAAAAGGAACCTACAATCTCCCCAATAGCTCTCATTACGCTGAGCTAGAGAGCAATAGAATAGAGAGTAAATACTGAGCAATTAGGAGTTGAGGACGATAACTCGCAAAGTCGTAAACTCGTCTTTCCCTGGAACCGGGACTTTGAGGGGGGCATGCACTACCGGCAAGGCCAGCAAGCTACTCTCACAGCCACTATTACTCCAGTAGAGAGAGAGTAGTTTAGCCTTGAGTAGAGGAGACTGATAAGTGGTAAACTGGTAGCTACTATAAGTCTATAACTTCGTCCAAGTACTAGTCTTGCACTCTCGAACTCTCGGTATACTCTCAAAAGTCGAATCTCGATCAGATATTAACAAAATTGTAGTATAGAGTAAAATATTCTATTAATTTCCTCCCCTGATACTCTACCTGTGGTTTCCATACTCCATCTTAAACGTTCCTGAGTCCTTTTATTAGATTTTTAGTACACCAAGACTCGCCAAGATCACTTCCTGTAAACAAAAACAAATAAGGGAAATTTGAAAGATGTCATATTCTTCCAAAAAAAGAACAATATATACAGGGTTTTTAGGTTTCCGCGGATCGCGGGTTCGTAAGTGACAGAGTCCAGCCGAGAACTTCTCAATCTTTTTTTATAAATATAAATATATCCTTTTGTTTTTAAAAATAATATAATACAAACAAAAAATTGATAGTATTTACAAAGATTGAATAAAAATATCAATAAATATTGGTTTGAAAAGTTAAAATCAATTTCTTTAGGCTTCTAGATTATATTTGAAAATGGCCTACAGAGAAGTGGTAAAATGCCACCATTTACTTCAAATGTGTTTTTTAATTAAAAGGATGTCGCGAATAAACATTTCGAAATAAATACAATGTGAATAGTGAAGAGCAGTTGCAGCTGCGTGCCACAGCTTTAATTTCACTCATTATTTTCTCATGTTTGCGATAAATATATTTTGCTTTTAAAACAATTCGAAATATCTTATACTATCTACACTATTAAAAAAAACCCCCCTTGAATTATTTCTAAAGAATCTCTTTCTAAAAAAAGATATATATTGTACAAAATATGGCGTTAGTCAGGTGTTAGGGACTTAGGGTACTCTGGGTTTCACTCTCAAGGCAGTTTTTAAAAATGTATATGCCCTCAAACTCTTTTCTTTTTTTTTGGAAGCCCCAAAAAGCTGGGGAGTGGGAGGCCTAGTCGCGAGTTGCGAATGACCCGCCGATCGATTAAACAAATAAAAATCGACTCCTGCCGCTTCACGAGAATCGGAAGAGTGAAGACCCAGTAAAAGATTAGCTCTGTTACTCCTTTTCTATACAGTGTAGAGTAAATTACCGAAAACATTGATTGCTCCTAACTTAAAAAGCTCCGATGCTGAACGGCTGACAACTCACAAGTGACCAGTCACCTCTCTATATACTCTCTCTGAAGTAGTAGGGAGAGTGCGGCCTTCTTATCCTCAAACGCGCGGGGCCGGGACCAGGTCTATACTTTATAGATGAAGAGTGGCGGACCCAAACAAATAAAAGCTATTTATTTTAATTTGTCCCTTTGTATTTAGTTCGTAGACTCGCGTAGAGACTAGAGATAGAGAGATTCTAGAGTCTAGATAGAGACTGATGACTAGCTAAACAGTAGAGTAGAAAATGTAAACGACAAAAGAGTGTATTTATTATCTCACCCACACTCTTGACAGTTGACACTTGACATTTGACAGTGTTGCGTATTTTTATTAGTAGAGGTTATGTCCATTGTACAAATATAGTGTTAGACAGTGTTGTGAACAGTAGTAGCGTACCTCATGTATTTAAAAAAAGTAGAGGAAGTAGATTTGTTTAGAAATAAAAAAAAATGTTGTAGAACTGGTACGTTTGCTTTTTTACAAAACAAGTTTGAAAAAAAAGTTTGAAAAATAAATATGTACACGTTTTGGTTTGTTTCGTACTGTTTATTTGTTTTATTTTCTTCCTATAAAAAGTAAAACAAATGAAAAAGTTACTTTATATGTTGGTTGCAATATTTATAGGTAGTATATTATAATAAAAGGGTGCATGTTCGGGGCCCTGAGAATTAGTATCAGAACAATATTTACCCTACTATTTAGCTAGGATGTCCGCTAAATTTTATAATAGGTCCACTATTTTGACGACAATCATTGACTTTTGACCCTTATGAACGGTTAATCCGAACGAATAAGCGTTTACGTTGAACTTGTACCTTTTTTTTTATACAAAAAAATCGATCACTTTTCAGGCTTCAGCTGAAAACGAGTGACGACTATTTACACTATTTACTGGAGATACTAAATAGTAGGCTAACTTCTACTTCTAGTAGTAGAGAGCAGGATTTGTTTGTTTTGGGGTTTTTTACTTTAAAAAAAAGAAAAAAAGAAAAAAGTTATATACGCTGAGTTGCTGACAATTTACTATTAACTGTGATGGGTGATGGACATTGTCTCAGAGCGTTAGTAAATATTATTTACCGTGTATTTATTGCACGGAGTTTGTGACTGTATCTCTTCTCTTGCTCTTCATCGAGTGTGTGTAATGGCTGTGTACACAAATACACCTGACCGTACATATAGTGTATTTACAGTATGTTCTACAACCTGAGACAACAGTCAACACTGTGACTCTGTGAGTGTGTATTTGTACTACTCTACTGGAGGGAAGTATGAATTGTTGACTTCAAATATTTGGTATATTTTTATTTTAAATTTGTTTAGAAAAAACCCCCAATAGCATGTACAGCTACAATACACAGTACATTGTACAATATTTAAATATATAAAACTGCGAAATTCTCACCGCGAGTCGCCTTGTCACTTATAAAATGTCGCCTACTCCGAGAGTTTGTAGAATGTTTTTATTATGAAGGGGACTGATGTGTATCACATTAGTTTAAAAAAACTACTGGTCGATTATTTAGCTGTACTAGAGAGAGAGATGTAAAAACCCTAAAATATAAACAGAACGTGGGTATATTTTATACAACAATGTAAATATCAGCCTGGACTACACACCACACAGTACACACTACACGGTGTATATTATTTATCTACAGTTCGCAAAGTTGAACTTCAAAGGACACGGACGATTTCAATTTGTATATATATAAATGAAAAAGGAGAGAGCTATTGGCATAAATCAACCCAGCTGATATTTAACACTTATTTGAATGCATACTTTTGTGCTACTACATACAGTCGGTACTAATAGAACCATAAACCACTACTCTTGTTTCAATAGTTACTATGTTTGAGAGCATGAACGTCACGCAATCTGCTGGGGAGCCGACCGCCTCGAATGTATATATGTTCGTCCAGGCGCACAGCGGAGTACTGCCAAAAATGAAGACCACTAACATACGGGGAGATTACAAGTGTCGATTTCAGAATTGTGAGCGCACCTATACAAGTGAAGATACGCGACGCAGACACTACCGAAGGCATCATCCTATGGAGTGGCGGTCGGTGAAGAGATCGAAAGAGAACACTATCGCCAAAAAGCAGTCCATGGACGGGAAGTCGCATATCAGCCGGTCACTGAGTCATCCCGAGTTGGCACAGAGACTTTTGTCTTCCCAAAAGTCCATGCCGACATTCTCCACCAAAACAATGTACAGCCTACAAAATTCAATGCCAGTTGCGGCAGGCCCTGTAAAGTATACACTATCATCGCAGAACCAGTATACGAAATTTCAGGACATGCAGAAAAAGAGCAGTCAGCCAACGACAGACTCAAAGCCGGTACTCTCAGGTGAGCTATGCACCGTTCCTCCTATTCCAGAGCCGGTTGATACCGCAATGTTAGCTCAGTTGGACGACTTACTATGCCTTTCCAGTACCGCTACTGACAGTTTCAGCAGTTTCAGCAGTTTCAGCAGTTTCAGCAGTTTCAGCAGTTTCAGCGATTTCAGCGATGGCTCAATAACCCCGGATTCAGCTCCCCAGGTGAAGATCGAGAACCTTCCCGGCATGAATACACGTCTACCGAATTATCTTGAGAGCGGATTGTTTCCCACGCATACACTTCCCACTCTGCCCACCCCAACCTCAACTAGTGTCGACTTCAGTGAATTTGCGAGTCCAGATACCCTTTTTGCGGGATTTACCAGTTTGCCCGAATTGAACGACGGGTTATATCAACAAATCGAGTCGCTGTTGAACTTCGAATTATAGACACACGAGATGGACTCCACCGCAATTAGTGTCGACTTTAGTGAATCTTCGACTCCGGGGACCCTTTTTTGCGGTATTCACCAGCTTGCCCGAATTTAATGACAGATTATATCAACAAATCGAGTCGCTGCTGAACTTTTGAATTATAGACCCACGAGATGGATCCCACCCCAGTCAGTGTCGACTTTAGTGAATTTCCGATTCCGAATACTTTTTTTTTGCGGGATTCACCAGCTTGCCCGAATTTAACGACGGGTTATATCAACAAATCGAGTCGCTGCTGAACTTTGAATTATAGATCTACGAGATGGATCACCCGCTTGTCAGACAGTGCGTTTGGCATACACAGTTTTCAAATAAAGAGATTACAATATACATAACTTTGGAGGTGGCTTTTATAGTATAATTTAACGAATCCACGACGGGGTACCATTGATTCAGTTCGCGTGCGGATCACGGCAGTCGTTGTGATGTTCAGTAACTGGTACAGAGTGAATTTTCTATCCGCTGCCCATATATACAGTCCCCGTGCAAAACCCTATCTATTAAATGATCGCGACGTTTGAAATTATTATCAGGATGTTGGAAAACCGTGCAGTGTAAAAAGTTTTCGATGTAGTTCACGAATACGACAGAGTGTGGAACGCTTGCGGGTCCCGGGGGTCGTTGTGATGTTCAGCAACCGGTCCGTAGTGAGTTTTCTATCCGCTGCCCATATACAGTCCCCGTGCAACCTTAGCTTAAGTGATCACGACGATTGGGATTATGTACAGGATGTTTGGGAATCGTGCAGTGTAGAAGGTTCATAAAAAAGGGAGTCCAGCGGATGTGTTGATTTTCGATGGAGTTCACGAATACGGCAGAGTGTGGAAGAGTGTGGAAGGCTAGCTTGTTAGTACCGTGTATGGCGTCAATTTTTTATTGTGAATATATCCTATTACATAAGAGAGCCAAGGAATCTCATTTTAAATTATTCATTCCAATGTAATTAACATGATAACTGTATGTGATAGGAACAGGAACAGTGTAGATAGCGAGGGTCGATACTCGACAGCCAGTACGTCGTCCATCTATGCTACTTCCCAACAACAGATGCGTACAGCGCAACCGCACGCTGGTATACCTTTACCTGAGGAATACTACAGTGCACAGCGGCAGTGGACAACAAGTTTTGCCGAGAATGATTCAGATATAGGGGCAGCGTAAGGTGGTCGCTTGTCTGGGCTGCGGTGTTCGATGATTCATGAATCCACACAAGCTTGTTCTTGCTCATCATCTCTACACTTCCTCGCTGTGTGGTGGCGCGTGTAATATGGAAAGGTTTACACGTGCGGGTAACCGTCCGAGACACAGACATCGGAAGATATATCCAGCATAAAGAGGTGCTGAACGAGAGCACGCACACACTAAAATGGCTATACAATGTCACATATACATTAAGGGCTGATGGTAGGAAAGTATGTATGAAGGTACACACGTGTGGAGCGCTGCTGAACGGAGAATATTGCTAAAATGTACACGAACTAAGTTCGAAACATCACTTGAGCATTTTTCAGAGCATGTATATTCTTTGGAATACAATCTGCCATTGCACATCCATTCATGTGTATTTTTTAGTAAGATATAAACGAGCAAACACTGAATTTGTCCCACTGGATACTCCATGCACCAGATGCCAGCTATGTGATGCGAGTGCACTACGATGAATCGTGCAACACATCCACATTCAATTGTGCATACACGGATACACATCCACGTTGAATTGTGCATACACATCCACATTGAATTGTGCATACACGGATACTCATCCATATTGAATTGTGCGTATACAGATACACATCCACATTCGCAATCACAACGCCGAAATACGGTACAGGCACACGTTGTGGATGACGAGGCACAAGCTTATAAGAAGTTAGGCTAATGTATATGTGCAGACTATTCCGGGTTGCGTCTAAGTAATCGGAAAGCACTCAGCTCTATATGCGAGTCGCAGAAGTGCTACAGACCAAACAGAGTTGCCATATTGGCCTACTAAAACAAACAGACAAGGGGCTAGAGCAGAATTCCCAAAAAACAAAAAGACTAAAACCCTATGGGCGTGCTTGAACCTCCAATTCAACGATGGTCAAATGAAAGTGAAATAGAGTACAGAAGCCAAGCTACAGCGCCATCATACCGTATCAAGACTCAAACCCGCCTGAGGGTCTGGTTTAGCCCCATCTATATACAGGGACGTGACCATGAATCCTGATGTGGCACTGCCATCAGACACATCCAATTGTAACTGTAGCGACAGTTCTTCCAACGACCATTTGTTCGCTTGTGCGACGGCCTGGGAGTGGATAATTGCATGCATGCGCATAGTTGTGAGCTACATATTGAGCTGCGAATTAATAGAAGATTGTTCTACAATGGCTTGACATATGTGCGACCAAGTTGCAGCCGTATGAATAATAGGGCTGGGGATTAGGCGTCGATGCATGTATAAAAGGACTTGATAGACTTGGGCGCCCTGTCTGTATTGGCAAGCCAGCAGTATACAGCTGGCACTCAACTGAGCCACGCTGTTGTGCGGGCCGTACGGGTGCTCATGGTTTGGATGTACGCGTTCTGAGACGGGATACGAGGCTCTAAGTAGCCACAGGTGGGATTGTGAATTTTTAGGGATTTAAGCCTTCTCTGTTCATCAAGAAGGCTGTGTTTAGGCATTTTAGGTATTTGGTAACATAGCCTCTCTTGTCTAATTTAGAATTCTACGCGCCTCACTTGTCTTTTTTGGAAGATGGTAATGTAGAAGAAGGCTATGCTCTCTATTGAATATGACAGGCTATGTTGGTAATTGTTAGGGATTTAGTGGTCTAGGAATATCATGAATTTAGGGTTTAAATTTTGCCGTAGTTTTGATCAAGAGACCTAAGAACAGTTGTAATATAATTTAGGAGGGCATAGATTTTAAAATCTCATTTATAGGAGGCTATGATTTTGCTGTGACAGACTCTCCAAGACTCCAGGTCTAAAAACGGTCTCCATTATTGTGCGCAGGTGCGTGTGCGAGGATGTGTGATGGCTAGGGATCAAATCGTACGCTGGTTGTTGGCACTCACAACGATCGCATGACTGCACGTTGGGGTACACCAGCTGTTTAATTTTAAACACCAGATACCCATCTATTGCATACGCCGAGACACTCACGCACAATGTCATCAACACACCTCAACAATGGAGCATATAGGCGTTCACACAACAGCGATCGTGTGCCGTGATGTATTGTTATAAATACCGTAGCAAATACTATAGTGCGGATTCAGACACCGTTGTGCACATACAAGTAACTCGCACATGTTATAAGTACACATAGGTTAGTACGTCATTGAAATAAACAAATACATGCAGGAGGTGCATCGTGAACAAGAGAATGGTGACACAGACGCTTAACATACTTGTCTAGTTGCTGTAATGTACGCCTCAGGATACATGAGGCCTCCCAGCCAAATGTCCTGCAGGAGCTCGCCTTGCTCAACGCCAGCGGAGATGCTCTGTAGCTGTGTCATGCGGGCGGCTGCACGCGGAGGTTGTAGGTAAACTTCAATGGATGTCTATACCATGCAGTGGTTTGGGTGCAGGCATGCGCGTAATACGAATTCATATGTAGTTGTACTGGTTGAATCTCTCTCAAACAAATACTTGGTAGTATTCGTATGGAGTTCGTTTACAAATGTAGTTGTCCTGGTTAAATCTCTCTCAATTAGTACTTTTTAGTATTTTTATGGGCGTGGGTGCTTATCCGTATACTCTGCAAAGTCAATACACACCAGCATACAGTCTGTCACACACTACACCTGACCCCCCCCCACTCGATCACAATACTGGCACACGATAGTGGACATACTGAAGTCGACCATCCACTCAGGCAGTGCCAAGCCCACAGGCACAGTGTACCGTCTCCATGCATGAGGAATGGTGGCCATGAGGATGTCGTGCAGCAGCGCTCGTCCTTTGTTCGACTGTTTGTCACCGTTGCATACGCCTATAACCAGCGTAAGGGCCCTGCGTACCTTCCTGAGCAGTTGCTTGCCACCACTAACCTCACGCTCAAAGCACCGGAAGAGGGGCTGTTTGATGTTGTCGTTGTCTCGCCGCAACTCCTGCATTGGACGAGACGGATGTGGTGTGGTGTGGCGTGTGAGGAGACGCCTGTACTTGCACATATGAGGCGGTATCGGATGATGTGCGTGGATGTGAAACGGATATGAAAGCGTGGGATCCTTTGAGGGTAGACTGTTTGCGCTCGTGAAGATGTGCACGTACGTACGCGTGTTGCAAGTGTATCAATGGAAGCCAGCAGACATACACACGTAATAGCAAGTAGAGATACACACGTAATAGCAAGTAGAGATACACACGTAATAGCAGAGATGTATGACGGGACGTCTGTGCCCACATGTACACTTCGGTTCTCGCGAACATAACGCATCGCATTCTGCGACAATAATCACACTTCAGTTCGAATATAGGAGAATATAGATATGCCTGCACACACGCACACGCACACGCACACACATATAATATACATGTACATATATACATACTCACATATATATTAATATATGTATGTATAATATATATATATATATATATATGTATGTACAATATATATATATAAATATATAAATATACATATAAAAATGTATACATTACATATGTATATAAAAATATATATATTATTAAACAAATAAATAAATGAGTACATAAATGCATATGAATATATATATATAATACATACATATATATATATATATATAATATATACATATATATATATATATACATATATATATATACGTACATACATACATACATACACGCGCACACACACACACACACATATATATATATACATACATACACACACACACACACACACACACACACACACACTATATATATATATACAGTATATATACTANATTATAATACTATATAGTACATAGATATAGTAGTACGTAGAGACTACACTACG